CATCAATGCTGATGGTGACCAAGTCGCCAGCAGTGCGGGAGGCACGTCGAGGCAGCGAGGTGTGATACACGCCGATGAAGTCGGCGGCGATCAGGCATAAGGAATGGGGTCGTTGGTGGGTGCAGGCTCCTCACAAGGCAACATCGGAGGTCAACGAAGCGAATTGTCGCCGATGTCGGCGACCCACGTGCCAATGGGGAGGATATCACCGAGCTACGGCTACTTCAAATTTACACCGCACTGGATCACGGTCACCCCCCTGCTGGTCGGTCGACCAGACATTTCCACCTGGAAGGAAGCCATCGAGCCCTAGTTGGAGATGGCCGGGCTGATTGGCTTCATCCGGGGCACCGTGTTGACGCCGTCGAAAGACTACCCCGACCTGCGCAAGGAGTTTCGGGTTGTGCAGTTGTTGACCTTCACGGTCATCTCGCGGTGTTGCTTGCCAGGCGTGCAGATCGCCTTGAAGCCATGCCGGGACTACATTGACGCAGGACACCACGCGTTGCACTTTATTGAGTCCACGTACAAGGTCACCGACGACCTGTACATTGGCCGGCTTGACAAGCAGATGACGCATCTGCGGATGGGCGACCAGGAGACAACGGCAGACTACTACAATCGGGCACGGCGACTTTTCGCCACGATGAGGATGTCCGGCGTGCAATACTCCATGGCGTCATATGTCACCCATTTCCTAAAAGGGCTCTTGAGTAGCTACAACGTGATGAAGCGGCTGTCGGTGGTGCCGAGCAATGGGCGACGCAAAACAAGGACTCCTTGACCTCATACATCCTACGGGACGAGGCGATGCAGGAGGCCGAGCAGTTCTTGGAGATCCTGCCGCAGGCAAACCCCGACAAAGCAGGGAGGCTGACCAGGGTTGCATGGACAGCCTAGCGGCAGTGGGAGTAGTGGTGGGAGGCCCGCGAAGGATGCCGACAAGAAGAACTCGGTTGAGGAGAGCAGTCGTGGAGGAGGAGGTCGACGTCGGGGATGTTGGTTGTGCGTCGACCTTGACCATCTCTCCTTTGAGTGCCCCAACCGCAGCGACCCGGACGACGACGACGCCAAGGGAAGCCGAGGGAGGTCGCTTGGGCGTCGCCCTCACCGGGAGAGTAAGCCGCGCAAGGAGAAGCAGTCGACCGGGTCATCAACCTCGGCGAAGGACACTGACTCCTCGGCGAGGCATTGCGCTCGCTGGTCGGCGACGTGGAGCCAACTGTCTTGCTGTTCCGAGCGGTGGCGGCAGCTGTGCAGGCGAACCCGGCGGTGGTCCTGCTCGACAGCGGCTGCTCGCACCACCTGATGGGGACGAAGGAGGCCTTTGTTGACTTGGAGCCAAGCGGCGACGTGAAGCAAGTGCGCGGCTTCAATGGGGCGCTGCAGGACGTCTGGGGCCGCGGCATCGTCGCTCTGCAAGGTGCAGCCGGGAAGCGGGTGCTCATCCCCAACGTGCTCTACGTGCTGGGCGTGCAAGCAAACCTGCTGTCATCTGGTCAACTGAAGGAGAATGGTGTGAATCTGCAGGATGATGGCAACGGGATGTAACTCGTCTCGGCGGCGGGGGACGTGCTTGGTCAGTCGACATACTCCGGCCAGGTCCTCTGCACCGACCTTCGACCCTGCTCGGGAAAGCTGACGCCGACTATGACGGAGGTGGTAGCTCTGCGAGTAATCGTCTCAGCGACGAAGTCAATGCCGAACCGACTGCATGCGAGGCTCACCCACATTGGCATGGACACCATCCGAAGCTCGGTGAAGCACGAGGTCGCCACTGGGCTGGACCTCAAGTCGGAGTTCGGCGCCAACTCACCGTGTGTCTCCTGCGTCGGCAGGAAGCTGGCGCAGCACAACTTCCCCGACATGGGCTCGGACGCCAAGGACGCCCTGGCCGTCGTGCACATTGACTTGTGCGGGCCGTTTCAGGTGGCGGCCAAGGACGGAAGCCTTCACTTCTTGCTGCTGAAGGACCGCAAGACCTGCTATGTGTGGGTTACGCCAGTCGCCAAGAAGTCGGACGTGCTGCTAGAATTCCATAAGTGGCTGGTGTTGGTAGAGAGGCAGGCAAAGAAGCCGGTGGTGATGCTGTGCTCTGACCAAGGCAAGGAGTTCACCGCCTTCGTGGTCAGCAAGGGGATCGTTCACGACCTAACCTGCCCCTACACCCCGCAGCAAAACGGCATGGCGGAGCAGGAGATGCGGACGGTGGTGGAGTCGGTGTGGACGATGCTACTGCATATGGGTGTACAGCACCACTGGTGGCACCTCGCTCTGCGGCAGGCCGTCTAGGTTTGCAACTGCCTTGAGAGGTGGACGCTGCCACCAGAGATGACACCATACCAGCTGCTCATTGGGAAGAAGGCCGACTTGTTGCTAGTACGCGTGTGGGGCTGCATGGTGCAGTTCCTCGTCCCCTAGCAGCAGCGCGGTGGGAAGCTGAAGTCGAAGGCCAAATGGGGCCTTCATCTCAGCGTGTCATAGGTGAGCAAAGTAAGAACTCCTGGACATCACTGACAACCGGGTGGTCATCATGTCGGACGTGGTGTACTACGAGACGATGTCGCTGGAGGTGTGGAAGTCAGAGCACGGCCCGGCGTCAGGGCGGACGCCGGTCAACCCGCTGATGAACACTTCGACGGCGACGCTCCCTTTGCTGCTGCGGACACCAAGGACGTCCACCCTTCCTCCCCCTCCCCTGCCCCTCCTTCCCCTCCCCTTGTAGCCAACCTGCATGGCCTGACTCCGGTGTTGGCCTCCGGCGATAAGGGGAGCAAGGTGACGTCGCCCGCGGCGCCGGCCAAGAACATCTCCGGTAGCCGACGCAACGCCAAGCAAGTCGGCCTGGGAGCGGCGTCAACGCCGAAAGGGGAGACGTAGACCGAGGAAGTGCAGCTGACTTTGGTGGAGCCGGCGAAGGAGGCATCGGCAAGGCAGCAGCTAACAAGGGAGCATGCAGCAGTGAAGCCGACCAAGGGGCAGTCCACGACGGGCAGTCGGCAGATGAGCCGACCTTAGGGGAGAAGTTGGCTGAGACGCCAGCTGAGGTGCAGCAGGACGCTAACGGTAGCGACGCCGGTGATGATGAAGGGGACGCCGAGGAGGCTTAGCCTGGACCACGGCGTACAGGCCAATTTCGGACGCCGCCCGACTTCTATGTACCGGCTGCCTTCACCATAGCGTACGACGAGGTCGACGACGACTTGCTGTATGACGACGCCAAGGAGGATGAGGAACTTCCAGAGCTCGACCCCGAGATGCACGCCGACCCCGAGCACCACTGGGACATCTCCTTGATGACGATGAAGGAGGCGTTGGCAAGCTAAAAGGGCAAGGCGGTGAACGCAGCCTCATCAGCATGGGAACTTGGGAGCTGCAACGCCTACCTGGGGTGAACATCATGAAGAACCGGTGGGTGCTGACAACAAAGTACCGCATTGACGACACCGTCAAGCGCGAGAAGGCAAGGCTGGTTGTGAAAGGCTTCACACAGGTGTATGGCGCCGACTACGACGCGACGTACAAGTCAGTGAGCAGCTATGTCACGCTGAGGATCTTCCTCAGCATCGTCGTCGTCCTCGACCTCAACCTAATGCAGCTGGACATGAAGAACGCCTTCCTGCAGAGCAAGCTCGACAGGGTGCTGTACATGAACCAGCTGGACAACTTCAACGATGGGTAGGAGGTAGGACTACCTCCTACCCGCCCTGGAGTCCGTCTACCTCCTACCCGCCCTGGAGTTTGTCATTCTTCAAGCAGAACTGGAGTCCTACCTCCTACCCGTCGTAGGTAGTCCTAACTCGACAGGGTGCTGTACATGTTTTTTTTTTTTTTGGTGGATATAAGTACACTACACGCATACATACATCCGCATTCGTAAGTGATGCTAGGAGGACAAAGGAGGCCACTGATAGCGAGAAGAAAACCCCCTCTCCCCCCCCTCGCTTCTACGGGGGCCGAAAAGCCACCCCTCCATCTTCCCAGATTGCCTTAAAACCGGCGTTACACGTCATTGAAGCCTCGCATTGGTACAGTCTGCGCATGACCCCCGCCTCGTCAGCAGCCAAATGACCCCAGCCTCCTAATTTGTCCTTAGCTCCTTTGTAAGCCGCCCTTTTCCGGGCCTTGTTGTAAATCTTCACGTGCCTTGTGAAACTAACCGCCATGCGCCGTAACACCCTCTTTGACTGGAAGCAACTGCCCCTGAAAACCGTGTTGCACCGTTCCAACCAGACTTGGTGCGCAGTGGTTGAGATGAACGTTGCCTCCGGAAAACCAGTTGACGTGCAGCTCTCTTGGAAGAGCATATCGCCGAGGGACTCTACTACTCTTCTAGGATTCATGCATTGCACCGCTCTCTTCATCACCCTGACCACCGGCTGTATTTTGGGGCAGCTGTACAGACAGTGGTCTTGCGATTCAACTTCCCTACAGTGCGGGCACCTCGCCCTTGCACCCAGGAAAGGCAGTCTCTCCCCCACTTGCAGGTTATTGCTGTGTAGCCTCAGAATGATCTCCCGTGCCCTGTCCAGAGTTGCCAGCGAGTCTCGGGTCGTGATGACCTTCCCCCAGCCAATCTTCCTTCCCAAAGTCTCCTCCCATTGCAACTCCTGCTTAGGTTGGGATGGGGGAGGGTTCATCAGCTTCCTTAGTCGCCTTAGCTCGGCACGCTCCCCCTTGTCGCAGATCGGCGAGTACAGCAGGCGCGTTCTTGGCTCTCTCAGTGGGCCACGTACTCTCCCCTCTATGACCGCCATCGGGGTGGTGCGTAGGAAGCCAACTGATACCACGCTCGCATACTGCACCTCGGTGACGTTTCCTTTTTTGTCCAACGCCACTCTTCTCCCGTAGATCGCGCCGTCACTCGTCTGCTCTAGTTTGTAGTAAAGCAGCTCCCCCGGCCGGTACGACGGTGAGCGGAGCAGATTTGTCTCCCTGAAGATCTCCTCTACAATCAGTTTTGCAAGAACCATGTCCTTCCATCTTTGCGGTGTTGCCTCCTAGGCCTTCATCGCCCACTTTCTCTGCTCCTCTCCCCCCAATTCCCGCTCCAGGGTAGAGGCATCCTTGAGGGTTCTGCTTCCGTCCCACCACTTGTACACAAGATCGCCCAGCCGAACACCTTTTAGGCAGCGCGATCCAGCCCGATTGCCGAAAGGGGATTTTCCCCTGAAGAAAATCTTCCGATTAAACAGCAGCTGCTCTTCCTCCGCATCCCATCTGTGTGCAGGGTCTCCAATAGCCACCACTTTCGAGTCCCATAGAGACTTCACCGCTAATCTCCACCTCGTACCTCCTCCCAGCCAGCACTTCAAAATCGAGGGGTGTGCGTAGATTGTGGCCAGCCCGAGAGGGAACCCAGCAGCTCTCTCCCACAGCCAATTTCTCAGGGGCTCCTGCTCCGCCAGTGCCTTCCCCAATTTTTGAATTACCGTGCTGTCAATCCTTTGCTTCAGGTTAATAACGCCCAGTCCTCCCTCCTTCCGTCCCCAGGTCATAACTCCAAAGAGTGAAGTGCCTATCCAGCACCGCCATTCCCCCTGATATGAAGTTGTGACAGAGCCGCTTCACCTTTGTCCATACGTCGTGCGGCGGTGCGTATATCTGCGCCTAAAACAGCAGGATCGGCATCGCGTAGCTGTTTATAATGGTGACCCGCGCCGTCGTCTTGAGGTGTTTTGTCTCCCAGCAACTCAGCACCGCATTTATGCTCTCAAAGGCTTTATCCCATGTCGACACCGGCGACCCTCCAGATGTGATCCATATACCCAACAGCCTTTCCACCTTGTCCTTCTCCGCCCACTTGAAAGGCGTTACCAGAGGCTGCAACCGTCTCCGATTCTTCCCCAACGGCATCAATGTCGTCTTGTCACGGTTCACACACAGCCCCGATATGTCCGCAAACTCGTCCAATACCTTCTTCGCCCGCTCCACCTGATCCTTCCCTTTCAGGATAAGTGTTGTGTCGTCCGCATAGCTGATGTAAGCGAGTTCTCCTTTCATCCCCCTTTTCCTGACCCCCAGTTTCCTCCTAGTGATCTCGTGGCAAAGTGGCTCGACCGCGCAGAGGAAGAGGTATGGGGCTAGCAAGCAACCTTGCAGCACTCCCTTCTCCATGTCTACGCAATCCCCCAGCCAGCTGTTGAGCAGTAATTTGGTAGTAGCACCTTCATGTAAACCCTTAACCCAGGCGATAAACTTGTCCGGGAAGCCCATGCGCTCCAGTGTCTCAAACAGGTATCCTTGGGAGACGGAATCATAGGCTTTCAGGAAGTCAACCAGAAGAAGCAGCTAGTCCTCATCCTCCTCTTCTGCTGCATCAATAGCATCAGCCACCAGTGATGCAGCATCTGCCAGACTTCTCCCTGGGAGGAAGCCAAATTGGTTCTAAAAAAAAACCCTTGGTAAGGCCAGCTTGATCCGATTCGCCAACACTTGTTGAGATGAACAAACAGGAATGATTGAACTAACATTGAAATCAGTACAAGTACCAAACCCTAGAATTGTGTACCCCCTATAGGCTAACCCACTCTAGCCTAAACAAGCACAACATATCTAATGTTTGACACACCCCCATAGGCGAAGTAGGGGAGAACTAGGGGTCACAAGACCAGTCAAGGAAAGCAAAGCAAAGCAAGCTCAGGGTGGATCACAAAGTCACCACACATTCCGAGCACAAGTTCAACACCACAAGGCCAGTTCACAAGCAGGAGTACATATATATGTAAGACTAGACAAGCAAGAGCAGGTATATATATATGTAACAGTACAAGGAAGGTCAAGAGGTGAGCAAGTGAGGCAAGACAGGTACAAGACCCAGCTGGGTGCAGAAGCGCTGATGATCACAAGGCGCAAGTGCCTTGGTGAAGACATCAGCAGTGTTGGCCTCAGAGGCCACGTACGCAAACCGCAACTGACCACGCTGCTGTAGCTCACGAGCAAGGAAGTAGCGGAGAGCAATGTGCTTTGTTCTGTGCTCCAGTCTCTGCTCTCGACACAAGGCCAGCATGGCCTTGTTGTCTACGTACAGGACGGGAAGAGAACGAGGCGGCTCTCCAAGGTCGGTCAGCAGGTAGGTGAGCCAGCAAAGCTCCTGAGCAGCCATGGCCCCGGCAGAGATCTCAGCCTCACAACTAGAGCCGAGAACAGAAGATGAGCGAGTAGCCCGCCACGAAACAGAGCCGGAACCAAGGCTGAAGGTGTAACCCTGTGACGACCGCTGCGTAGCCTGGTCGTCAGCCCACGAAGCGTCTGCGTGACCGGTGAGGACCACTGGACTCCGCCCTCCAATCACTAGCCCCATGCTCGACGTACTGCACAAGTAGAGCAACACCCTCTTCGCTGCATCCATGTGCTCTGGTCGGTGTCTCCTAGGAGCAACATAGCGTGCGAGAATGCTAAGAGGGTATGCAAGGTCAGGTCGTGTGCAGGTCATCAGGTACATGAGGCAGCCAACAAGCTCTGGGTACGAGCCACTCGACTCTACGGACTCATCCGAAGGCAGAGCTGAGAGCGAGTGGCGAGTAGGCAGAGGAGTGGCCTGAGGCGAGGAGTACGTGAAGCCGAAGCGCTGAAGAACCTGCTGCACCATGTGTGACCGAGTCAGGGTGATGGTGCGGTGTGCTCTGTCTCGGGTGATCTGCAAGCCAAGATAGCTGCGCAGTTCACCCAGGTCTGTGCATGTGTGTCTCTTCTGCAGCTCAAACTTCACGTAGGTGAGTCCAATAGTGTCAGCTGTGGCAAAGACCAAGTCGTCGACGTACACGAGGATGTAGAACGGCGGCAGAGAAGTGTGGGTGCGTAGAAATAGCGACAGGTCGGCAGTAGACGGAGCAAACCCAAGAGCCGCAAGTGTAGTCCTCAGTGTGTCGTGCCACTCACGAGGTGCCTGGCGGAGACCGTAGACTGGCCGCCGGAGGCTCCACTGGGTGCCACGAGGAAAAGTCCCAGTCAAGCCAAGAAGGCGGCGCAGCCAGATCTCCTCGTGCAGGCTGCCCTGCAGGAAAGCAGTGCTGAAGTCAAGAGAGTGTAGCTCGTAGTCACGGTGAGCAGCTACGTGCAGCAGTACCTGAAGAGTGGTCATCTTCAGGGTGGGAGAGAAGGTCTGAAAGTAGTCAACTCCCTGTCGCTGACTGAAGCCACAAGCCACGTAACGCGCCTTGAAGATAGGCGGAGAACCCGGCGGCCACTTCACCGTGAAAATCCACATGCCACTGACGATGTTCGCCCCAGGAGGGGGGGGCAGCGTCAACGTAGGTGCCTGTGGACTTCCATGAAGCCATCTCTGCATCCATAGCTGCCTGCCATTGAGAAGAGTAGGGACCCTCTATCGCCTCTGCGTAAGAGCGCAGATTCGGGATGTCAAGTGCATCCGAGTCTCCCTCAGGGGTAAGCAGTACGGACACGAGATGAGGTGAAGCAGCGGCCAAGCATTGGAACTCCTTCTGCCTGTCCTCTAGGACGTCCGTGCCAAGGGCACACTCACCCCCGACGGACGGAGGACACCCAGACTTAGACTCTGCCACAAGACTAGCAGCGTAATCCTGACGACAGCGAGCAGCAAAGTTGACAAGCTCAGCAACTAGGGCAGACGCAGCAGTGGACTCAAAGGAAGGGTCAGTGACGACAGTAGCAAGGAGACGCTTGACAGTAGGACTGGCAGCACAAAGAGAGTCCGACTCTGGGTCGGGAAGAGCAAGAAGAGAGGACTCAGTAGGAGAAGGCAAAGGGGCACGCAGAGGAGCACTGGACGGACGCAGAGACATTCGGTGCGTGCCAGGGACAGGAGGAGGACGGTGACGCGATCCGCAACCACCAGTGCGAGCAGTACGGACAGGCGACGCAGGGCGAGACGCAGGCTCACGACTCTCAGCAAGACCTCCAGTAGGACCAGTGTAGGGAGAAGTAGCAGGCAGTGGGGAGGCGGGCTGTAACTGTAACTGTGACTGGACAGGCTGTGGACCCTCTAAGGGAGGAGGACGACCGAGAGAAGGCAAGAGACCAAGAAACTGATGAAGGAGTGGAACGAAGTACGGCCGCTGCCGTGCAGCGACTCCAGAACCAGCAGAGACACCAGCGCCAGGGTTCTCCGCACCAGCAGCAGCTCCAACGCTCGACTCCACAGCACCAGCAGCAGCACCAGCTCAAGGGTCCTCAGCACTTGCAGCAGCTCCAACGCCCGGGTCCTCAGTACCAGCAGCAGCTCCAATGCCCGGGTCCTTAGCACCAGTCGTAGCTCCAACGCACGGGTCCGCAGCACCAGAAACAGCTCCAACCTCTAGGGACGCAGCACCAACAGAAACAGTAGAGTCTCTAGTACCAGCAGCACCACCAGCAGCACGGGGTCCGCGACACCAGGCGCGCCACTCCGAAGAGTGCAGCGCCGCTCGTACCACTCACTGATCCTCTCACGGGAGGGGAGCTCCTGGCTAGGAGGAGATGCACTAGTACCAGTCCCAGTAGTACGCCTGGCTCCAGAGGTACCTCTCCTAAGGCTGCAGTACTGCAAGTACCACTCATGCAGCTGCTCCGAGGAGAGGGATCCTCCAGGTGTAGGACTCTCAGGCTTAGGACCTCCAGACTCAGAACCCCCAAGCTCAGTACTCCCAAGCTCAGCACCCCTAGGCTCCGCACCCCCAGGCTCCGCACCCCCAGGCTCCGCATCCCCAGGCTCCGCACCCCCAGGCTCCGCTTCCCCAGGCTCAGCACCCCCAAGCTCCGCACCCCCAGGCTCAGCACCCCCAGGCTCCACACCCACAGCAGGACGAGAGTCGAGAGCTACCTCAACAGGCTCAACCGGGTCTACCTGAGACACACCTGAGGGAGCGGCACCCTGAGGGGGAAGGGGGTCTACGACAACAGCACCTGGCGCGAGAAAGAGAGGCGGGGGGGGGAGCAGGGCACTGCGGTAGGAGAAGAGGCGGTAGTAGGGGACAGACTCGTCAAAAGTGACGTCCCTGAAAGGGCAAGACTCGGCGCAAGGTGGCGTGGTAAAACTGCCAACCAGGCGCGTCCGGGACAAAGCCGAGGAAGACGCAGGAAACAGCACGGGAGGAGAGCTTATCCGCAGACGTATCGCGGACAAAAGCTCGAGATCCCTAGACCCAAAAACGCGACGCATTGCCAACCTCCCCCGTCCACAGCAGCGTGGGCGAGGTCTCTGGCAAGGAGACACGGGGCCAGAGGTTGAGCTGATGCGCAGCGTACCGGACCGCAAACGGCCACAGAAAGTGGGGGGCAACCGCATGGATCAAGGAGGTACGGGCTACCTCCATGACTAGGCCAATGCTGCGCACTGCAATCCCATTCTGCTGTGGAGAGGCCGGAACCTTGAACGACTGCTTAATGCTGTGCTCAGCACAGTAGGCTGCCAAGAGGTCGGAGGAAAACTCACCACCTCTGTCAGAGTGCAAGCGCAGGACAGGAAAGTCCGAGTGGAAACGCTCGCTCAGCTAGAGACGGGCTCTGCAGATCCAAGGGATCAAGACATTAGGGACCTCACCCTTGGTGCGCAAGTGGAAGACCGTGGTGTAGCGCGAGTAGTCGTCAACAACTATCAGGAAGTACCTCTCCTGACCCTGACTACGGACGCGGGCTGGGCCCCAAGCGTCCATGTGGAGCGTTTGCAAGGGAGCAGTCGTCGGGGGAAACGAGGAGGAGTGAGGACCAGCGCGCTGCCGCCCCTCGACGAAGGGAAGACAGGGAGGAGCAGGCGAGGGTGGGAGGGGAGGGAGGACTCTAAGAAGACCAGAGACAAGGTATCGGGAGTGCATGGCACGAAGGCGCTGCACAGACGGGTGGCCAAGTCGGTGGTGCCAGAGGACAGTCTTGTGCACCAGAGAGCGACACGAGCAGGGGGCAGACAGCAGACCTGACGCGGACGCAGACGCAGACGCAGGGACTTGAGGGGACTCAGTGGTCAGTGTGTACAGGTCCGACCCTGGCTGCCGAGTGAAGGTAGCCAAGTGGCGGCCCGTACGAGCACACGTGCAGTGTGTCACGCGCTCGTAGGCAGGGGTGAACTGGTGAACACCCCTGTCCTGGATTGCACTACCTGCCACCAAGTTTGTAGAGAACGAGGGGAGGTGGAGACCTGACAGTGTGCCCGACAGGACCGCAGGACATAGAAGGACAGTGGAGGAGGTCGCAATGACTGGACCCCCAGAGGGGTCAGCGAGGGAGACAGCAATTGGCCGAGCAAGCGGCTCAAGGGCAGT